CTGGCTGTCCAGGTTGTCAATCACAGCCGTGGGCATATTATACTTACGACTAGAATATAGTACAATTTCAAGCTAGTTTCAAAAATGTATTTGTAAAGTTGTGCTGTGTTTTGTACATTTCAGAATGAAATTGATGTGCAAACGGACCCCCCTCCACAAATACACCACAAGTCAGTATCTCTACCGCTACTTGAATACTGTGGCTCAAACTGGTATGGTTCCACCACGTTAGACTCACCGGCATCCTCTTCAATAAAATCCTCCTCTTCTTGAAAGTGCACCGAGTCTATTGACGACTCACTGTCACTCGATTGTGTCGAAATATCCGAGCCAGAGTCCGACATCAGCCATATAGTAAGTGTATTATTCAAAAAGGGTTCTACTCGTGACGTGCGTGACGTAACAAACCGGCGAAAGCCGTTTGGTCCGGAGCAGTCGTGTAACATCGGAAGCGAGCATGGAAAGTTGTAATAAATCACGATTTATAAATACAGCGGGCATATTGTCATCAATGACAAATGATTTCCCATTAATAATAGTATTTATTATCCTAATAAGAACAGTGTTGTCCTTCATTTCGTAAGCTCTTTAATAACAAATGTTTATCGTTTCCCTGCACTAAAATAAATGTATGTTTGACAAACCAAAAACACAAGTGAGACCCTCAAAATTAGCAGAAAACGGACCCCTTTTATATATAGACATTTGTATTCATTGGGATGAACCCCTTGAGATGCACCATCTCGTTTTCAAGGGGGTCCCAACAATAGCAACAACTTACAGACATACATAAACAAAAAGACAAAATGCAAAACATGACACACAAGACAAACCACATACAGTCTGTTAAGTGAAATTCAAGCAATGCACACAATCATTACAATTTGAGACAGTCGAGCAAATCAGTTTCATCAATATCAGTTAATAACAAGTACAGACCAGCTGAAAGTGAGATAACAATGCATGTTTAAATAAACCCAATGATGCAAGAGATCTAATAGCAGCAGGTAAAGTATTCCAGTCTGTTGGGGCTTTGAAAATGAACGCTCTTCTGCCAATCCATTTTTTTGCAGAGGGGACAGAGAAATACATCTGGACAGAATGTCTAACTTGATGAATTGGTGAGTAGGGTACAAAATACTGCTTTAAATAAGGGGGATAGTTAAGATAAATGCATCAGCTGGAGCCAATGCGTCTTCTTACATTTAAAGAAGGCCATTTAAGTTGGTTATACATTGTGCAGTGATGTGTACGAAAAGGACAACCAAGAACAAATCTGCATAGTCTGTTGTAGGCTATGTTGAGTGGAGCAAGATCTGATTTATGTGCATTTTGGTAGACAACATCACAATAGTCCATAATCGGAAGAATAAGTTGAGAAGCAATTCTCTTTCGGACACTGAGCGTAAAACAATTGCGAGAGCGGTGTAAAACACCGATTCCGTAATTTACTTTTTGTATTACATGCTTTATATGTAGTTTAAATGAAAGTTCAGAATCTAGCCATACACCAAGATATTTAAAGCTATCAACTTTATGCAGAGAAGTGCCATCCTTACATGTTATTACTACATTAGGTTTGAATTTGAGCTTCTGCCTGGTACCAAAGACCATGGTATAACATTTTGTTTTGTTAAGCAGTAGTTTATTGTGTGATAGCCAGTCCTGCAAGATATTAAAATCCGATTGAAGAGAGATCTGAATTTGTGAGAAATCTGATTTGGATGTATGACAGTGTCATCAGCATAAAGGTGAGTACAACAATTAATGAGACAAGAAGATAAATCATTTATGTCAATGGAGAACAGAAGTGGGCCCATAGTTGATCCTTGGGGTACACCCTTTTGTTGGATCAACAGGTCATACTCTTTTCATACTCGAAAATGACATTCCCAGAACAAATGACCTTATCTTCCCTTCTAAAAGGCTTAAATTAATAATCTTTTTTCTGAAATCAAGGTTACACCTGTGAGTTGGATGTAGAAGTGTCAGAATCAATATAGATGTTTTTATTTTAAAGTAAATTCAGATTGAACACAGTAAAAAAATGTAAGTACTTATAGTTAAAACCACCCTTGGATGATGGGATGGTAGACTTAAAGCTTTAGGAATCCAAACTACAAAATATAATATGTACCCTGTATCAAGATTGATACAAAACAAGTGAAATTTGACCTTTTTAGAGAGATTTAGCAAAAAAACCCACTTCTGTGGTCATTTGGGTGGATTTGACCTATCTTGATCGATGTTGCTGATTTATAACGCTCTCTCTAACCGTCAGAGCCAATGGAATCGAGGGGAACTCCCACATACTCCTTATTTGGTAATGTGTGTGTGTGTGAGACTGCCGCATAGCCAAGACCGGAAGCTGCGATAACTCTGGTGCCTACCATTAGCAGCTAACTTTTACTCTCCGATTTTTACATACAAATTGAATTATGGATTATAAATAAAAACATGTATTACACAGAAACATTATCAACCTATGGATCAACCGATTCAGCCGCGTTTTTTCTCGTTTTAATGCCATTGAACAAGTCTTTTGGTCAGATTGACAGCTATGGTGAGACGATCTCCCGTAAAAGCTCCGTAAAGGTACGTGTTGTGATGTCTGTGTTTGCTTCCCCTGCCAAGAGTTCGGATTACTCAGTGATGATATATATACAGGGGTGCACATAACTTTTTTGCCCTGGTTCTCAAAGGAGCACCTGGAGATGTTGCTTGATGCTCATCCTTAAAATGAAATAAACCGTAACTTTTGAGGGGGTCTTGACTTTATTTGCCAGACACACGGCACTGAACACACATGCAGAGGTGAACACAGAACACACATGCAGAGGTGAACACAAGACAACATTAGCACGACCAGTAATCCTACAAGCTGTCATCACTACCCTCCTGACTGTTCTCCTCACTGTCTTCCTCTCTGTCAGACATGGTAGCTGATGATGTAGGCATACTTCTTTCTCTCTGGTTGAGTCTGTGATTAGCTGCTTGCATCCACAAGTCAACAGCTGGTTTTGGGTTGAAAGTCTCTGTTGTCATCTTAGACAAGTGGATGTAATCAAATAAGTATGTGAACATAACCAATAACCTACCATAGCCAATAACAAATGAATGTAATTGATTTTATTTGTGTTGTTCATTCATATCTTATTTTACCTTAACATTTATTTATTTATTTATGCATTTTTTTTATCTCTCCAGTTTTAAAGGATATTTTTGGTTACTGTCCTATAGTATACATTGGAATGATTTAAAACCTGTTTATCCCAATAATTATAAAGGCGTGCCTTGGAAATATGTGTTTACATAAATTGCGACCAAACCGTTTGAACTTAGACTAGGAGTCCTTTACCTCACTGAGCTGTAGTTATCAGTCTGACTGGAGAGGACTCTCCCTCCACATTATTGTAGAAACATCTTCTTATATCCGTTAGAGCAGCTAGCACGGCACCAGATTATAATAACAACAGCGCTGGTACCGGTGCACCCTCCCTCTCTCCCTCGCTCACTCGCATTTTGGCTGTGAGCTGCGGGCGCCAGATAATCCAACATCCCCCATTTTCATCACTTACAGCGCCCATCGTACAGGGCAAATGAAACGTGTAACCGGGGTGAAAAGGGTGTTACATTTACTTAATTATGAATATTGTTACATCAAGGCCGAAAATTAGGATGAGCGCCAACGGTAAAAAATGTTTTTTTCCCTCCCAGAGCAGCCAGCGCAGCGCCTCCACAGATCTGGCGCCCTAGGCGAACATCTAGCCAGGGCTACGGGCCCTGCGCACCTGCGCAACAGTTATGTGCAGCCCTGTATATATACCTAAATAATCTGTGGAACCTCAGCTTTAATCGGATTTGATCGGTGTTTTTGTGTTATGGCCACATTGCTTCCCTTCTGATAAAACAATGCATTCGCTTTTTTTCTCCGCCTCATTGTAGCGAAAATGAGCCCAAATATCACATTGTTTCTTTCTCCCAAGCAGTGGTGGCTTTAGACTTTTTCGTTGTCAGTCATTTTGACGGACAGGATCGTAACATTTCCGTCATAATCCATTATTACCCATCGAGTGCACAATTTATCAATCACTCGCGCTGACGGGGGGGTATTCGGTTAACGCGAGTGCGACCACTGCTCCCAAGCCCTGTTGTTGCCATTTTATTTTCTGTTGAATAAGGTTAGTTAGACCATGAGTTAGACCCGAGTCTTCCTGACAGTTCACAGTGTGCCGCTGCCCGGTGTAATTCAAATGTACCGCCGCGCTCAGCACAGACACACAGCTGCTGCCCAGCGCAGCACCGGAAATGGAACTGCTGGGAGAAAAACTGACTATCAGAAATGTAACGTTATCTTTGATAATATTTCGTCTCCTCATTTTTCGTCAACAAAAGTAAAGAGAGATTTTGGCATAGTTTTTATTTAGTAAACTACATTTTCGTCTCGTCAATTTTCGTCAACAATATTGCATGATGATTTCGTTGCAGTTATTGTTTACTGCTGTCGGTGCCGTCTCGTCATCGTCTCGTTTTCGTCATCGACAAAAAGGTCGTTGATGAACATATTTCTTTTTAGTCAACGAAATTAACACTAGTGTCAACAACATCTCAGCAGTCATGACACGTCACGTAAACAGGTCTCTGTTTTTAGAGAAGATGAGAAAACTTAAAAACAAGAGAAGAGAGGAAACCGAGGAGAAAGTCACTTAGCTGCACCATCGAAGTGGATCAACATGCTACCATTAGCAGCAGCCTCATCTCTAGGGATGTTCATCACCCAGGAGAGTTTGAGGTAGACATGAAGATTGCCTCCGTGTCTTTGTGGGTAGAGAAGCGTTGTTGTGTGCCATCAAGAAACAACGCAGAGGGTGCACGGGTAGAGGAGAAAGTACTTCAAGTTGAGTTCACGGAGCTTGCGTTTGACTGGATCGAAGCTCCAGCGTCTTCTGGTAAGCTCGGGACTGAAATCGGGATATATGCTGATGTGTTTCCCGTTGTAGTCCAGAGACTTTTTCTCCCTGGCTAGACGAAGGATTTTTACTTTGTCCTGGAAGTTCAGCAGCTCGATCATGATGGCCCGCGGGCTGGCACGGGAGTTTTGCCTGGCAGTCGGCGAGCGGTGTGCCCTCTCAATGATCAGCAGGGAAGGCATCTGGCCCCAGGAGCTGCGGGATGAGCCGGGACATGAAGCCTATAATGTCACTGCCTTCAGCGGACTCCTGGATTCCTACGAAGCGAAGGTTAGAACGTCGGCTCAGGTTCTCCAAGTCATCAACTTTAGACATTAGGAAGGAGTTGTCTTTCTCAAGCTGCTTGACTCGAGCGACACACTCGTGTACATTGTCCTCATTAGCCCCGACACGCTGCTCTAACAAATTGACCTGGTCTCCCAAACTAGACAGGGAATTGTGTATCCTGCTCAAGCTACTTTGAATGGGATCCATTTTTGAGTCAATGTGAGTCAGCATGTCGGTCTTGATTTGCTGAATCGCGTCCCACAAAGTTTGCAGAGACATGTTTCCCTCCATAGTTGCAAATGCAAAAAATACAATAATCCAGAGACCGTAGTGAGCCGCTTTACTATGTTATACAAATGTTCGTGGGTTCAGATCATGTGGATCAATGATATGAGCTTTAAAGAGCTAATTTAACAGCGACAAACAGACGAGCTTGAGATGCGCTTACTCACGCTGCAACCATTTTGGATGATTGGATTTTAGCTTTGTTGCAGTGGGACCATTTTCTTAACCTGTTAAGCCCGAGAGACCCCGGTTCCGGGCCCTCCCGCAACATCTTGCAGGAAACAGTGTCTGAGGGCATGTTCATTTAATAAACTATGAATGTTTTATATCCATGTAACGGAAAGAAACTCATCTAACTGATCATTTTAATTTGTTTAAAAAATAAAACAAATGGGGGGGAGAGAGAGAGGAGGGGACAGAGAGGGGGGGAGAGAGGGGGAGTGTCAAATTACATACTGAAGACCACACGGAGCAACACTGTGAGCGCATACAGTTACGTACACAGCGTGGGGATGTCATAGTAAAGCACCTTAATACATGGAGTAAAGGTCACCATCACAAAGCAATTCTTAACAATAACAACAACCGTAATGCTTTAGCATTAAAACACCATAGACTGTAAATATAAGGAAAACACAGACACTCATCACCGAGGACACAATATCAATCGATCCAGCAGAGGCCAAACACAGAAGATCAACAAAATATATGACATAAATGAACTTACCAAAGCTGAAGGCTCACTTGAAAAGAAAAGCGGCACGGCGGTCCTTCCTCTGACAGAATGTGTCTATCACTTTGGGGATGAAGTCCTGTAGTTGCAGGATCAACTGGCTTTCAATTGAAAGCATGGCCAATGCGTTAAGTCGCGGCTGTCCCATGGTGTTGCGAGTGAAAGTCTTTATCCTTTTGAGGGTGTAAAAGTTCCTCTCTGACTCGGATGTCGTCATCGGAGTTGTTACTATTATTTTGACCAAAATAACAGTCTCAGCAAACGTATCCTCCAAGTTGTTCTCGTGAATGGATTTCAACAGAGACAGGGCAGTGTTTCCAGTGTGAAGCTCACTGTGGCGGTAGAGCGTGAACAGCTCAGACTTCAACTTCTCCTTGTTTCCCAACGCAGGCCACAGTTTCACGGCGCAGTCAAGCTCAGGTGTAGGAAATGACAGGACATGCTGTGGGAAGAATGAGCTGTCAACGAGCTTTGCAGCGATCAAATGGTCACTCTGTGAGAACCTCTGTTCCACCTGTGAGATGACTGTGTCACAAGCCTCCTTCATCACCGGCGCTGTGCTGCTGACTCGTCGGCCTGGCTCGCCTGTTCCATCATGAGCGGTGGCGGCCAATGCTTCAGTTTGCTGCCTCATTTTCTGGACATGTTCCTTGAAACGGCAGAGCGCGCTGTTGATCCCAGGTGCATCGATGCTTCGTTTTTGCAGAGTGTTGTATAAAACATCCACTTCTGGCATAAGCAACGAAAAAAACTCCAGGAACTGCATAAATGCTCGGTCCCGCAGTTTCTTTGACAGGCCGTATGCCTCACTTATGGTGACCGCATCCCATCCTGGTTGTGCGCGTATATGCTCCATACACTGAAGCAGTGCTTCTCGGGTCTCCCAAACCGCGTTCACAGTTCTGCTTTTAAAGTTCCATCTCACAGCCGGTGGCCGTGGTATGCGTCTCTGTGTTGCCTCTGCAAGAGCTGCAACACGTTTTGGAGCACTGGATAAAAAGTAGAAAAAGCAGTTAGATCTGCAAAAACCACCTTCAGGATGCTCATCCTTGCTGAACTGCTGCAGGGTCAGGTTCAGTTGGTGGGCGTAGCAGTGAACTAACTGAGCGTTTGGGTACGTCTCCTTCATCACCGTCTGTACCCCGCGCACGTTACCGCTCATGACGGCCGCCCCGTCATAGGTCTGAGCGATTAGCTTTTCTTTCAGCTTCAGGGGTTCCAGAACAGCCTTGATGCTGTTAGAGAGACCTACACCAGTTGTGTCCTTTACTTCCACAAACTCCAAAAAACGCTCTGTAACTGTGAGGTCAGGCATAATGTATCGCAGCACAATCACCATTTGCGATTTACAGGAGACATCGGTTGTCTCGTCGGCCTGAACGGCAACAAATGATGTGTTGTCCACTTGCTTGGCTATTTCCTCCCTGTACACATCATACATGCAGTCCAAGAGTTCATTCTGTATGGTGCTTGATGTCCCTTTGAAAACAAGCTGAGCTTCGTAGTGCCGTCGAAGCCTGCAATCACCCTCACACATTGTCTCGAAAATTGACCTGAATATCCCTGGATTCAGAGAGTCCGTCGACTCGTTGTGGCCCCGCAGTGCTGTCTCACATTTCCCACACAGTTTAATACAGGTGATGATCCGACCAAGCACGTACCTGTTTTCTTCCACCTTCCTATTATGATCATCAATGCCGCGTCTGTAGGCGCTGTCAATCTGAGCTGCAACATTCACCCTTCCAAGTAATCCCAATTTTACGGCATTTTCCAAACGACTGTTGCTGCTCTCATGCTTCATTGTCCTCTCCGAAATATGCTTTAAGTCCTTGTAACCTGTCCTCGACCAAGTACCTTGATCTTCAACAAAAAGCAGGCAAGGAAAGAAAAAGAAGGAATTCTTCTGGATGCTTGCCGTTAGCCATTTATTTTTAGCAAACCACTCAGCGTTAAACCCACGTTTAACTTTGCCCGCAGTCTGGACCATTTGGAAATCCGGTGGATGGTGGGCACCGAGGCGCTTTACCTCCAGTTTCTCTCCGAGACTAAGTGTCTCAAATGTGTGCTCCAGTAAATGGTCAACTTCATTCATTTTCTTTCAGTTTTTTACTTCTTTTAATGGCTGGTGATGTTAGCTATATGCTGCTCTCTCGTCTCCTCTTCAAACTACACGTGACGTTTCGCAGCACTGCACACGTGACGTCAATTCTGAATTATGTGAGATGACGTATGGTGGGGATGGCAGCACTATGCCCCTATGGTCATTATTTTTTTGCCACACACATTAAATAGAAAAATACTCTGAGCATGCGCAGTGTAGTTTTTACAGTCAACGTTCACTTAGACAGTGAGAGGGAGGGGCGGGATCGGGTTTTGTCCCACATGGCTCTAAACAGCTCAAAACGGCACTGTAGACACTAATTAGAAGAACACAGACTAAAACAGCAATGTACAGACGAATCAGATGATTAAACATGATCTTAAAATATATTTTATTTAAAAAATAAAAAATAAATTGTATTTTTTTGTAATCATTATTTGTAATACTTTCTGCTGACACTAGGTGGGGCTGTGCCCCACCTGCCCCTAATGACCCGTCGCCACTGCCTGTGTGGTAGTCTGGTCAAAAGTGGTCTTCAATGGCATTAAAACGATGCTGAAGTTAATCCATAGGTTAATCCAATGTGTCTGTGTCCCTTTGAAATGATTTCTGATAATCCATGAGCAATAAATCAGCTTTTCGGTTTTGAAATGTCAGAGCTAGAGACAGCTTCACTCTGGAGCAAAACTGTGTGCACGAAGCGCCATCTTTTTTTTTTTAACGATTCTATTGGCTCTAACGGTCAAAGAGATGTCACATGTCAAAATCGAAGAAGGGGGGGGGGGCCAGAGATAAGGAAAATCCACCCAAATGACCCCAGAAGTGGGTTTTTTTCTTGCTAAATCTGTCTAAAAAGGTCATATTTCACTTGTTTTGCATCAATCTTGATACAGGGTACTTATTATATGTTGTAGTTTGGATTCCAAATGCTTTTAGTCTACCATACCATCATCCAAGGGTGGTTTTCACTAGAAGTAATTATTATTTTTTGGACGGACACAATAATTAAACATTTTTTACTGTGTTCAATCTGAATTTACTTTAAAATAAAAACATCTATATTGATTCTGACACTTCTACATCATACTCACAGGTGTAACCTTGCTTTGAGAAAAAAGATTATTAATTTAACCGTTTTAGAAGAAAAGATGTGGTCATTTGTTCTGGGAATGTCCTTTTCGAGTCTGAGACCTGAAAAACAGGCTTGGGGCTTAACAGGTTAAGAGGTTAATCACCGAAAAATGCAATTCCGATAGAAATTGTCCCCTGTCAAAAGTTTCTATGGTGTACTACTTAAGCTCAAGGTCATGGCTTCTTCATTTGTTTTTTTCGAGAGGTTTTGACAATTCTTCATAATTTATTGGGTCTTTAAAAATTCAAAAATTGCCTGAACAATTTATCAGATCTTATGATAATGATTAACTACCATAATGTTTGAAGCCTTTACGCGCTTGTACAATCTTTCGAATGGATCCATGTTTCTTAGAGATTTACAATTTAAAAAATGTTACACATTGCTGAGTTGCATCTTAAATTAATATTTCCAACTCTTACATGATGTATACCCCTTTTATGTGGCGTATACTATGTACTCTTTTATATCCTCTATACCCTGCCCTTCAAAGAACAGAGAATAGTAAGGTGTAAAAGGTTTTGGGTTTTCAAAGTCTCTGTTAACTAACTCAAACTCTGTTTTCTGTCCCACAGACTGAAGAGCGCAGCAGACGATGCTCTAAAACACCAAAGAAGTGTCTTGTTTTCCTCTGCTAAGACCCGAGAAATCAAATATATCAGGAAGAGGCAAGACCGGAGCTCAGCTCCCATTGGCTCACACATAACTCGAGCCCTGCATGCGGCGTCTCGTCGCTACGGTTCTCTCTCTCTCTGTTCCTGAGAAAGTGTGTGTGAGCTCCAGCTCTACTGATCCATCATCCGTGTGTCTGGATAAACCTCTGAACGGACTCTGTGCTCTTTTTTCTGGAGCATTTACCTCGGACTATAGGAGCTAGCTTAGCATGCTAGCTGGAAACACGTTAGCAACACTAGTCAGATTGAGAGTTTGACGGAGAGAGAAACGGTGTGTTTAACGGAGTCTGCAGGGAAAGGTGATCTAGGAAACATGAGTAAAGTCCAGATGCTGCTGTCGTTGAAGAAGCAGCGACTCACTGCTGCTGCTGAAGAGATATTTGCTCTGTTTGAACAAACAATAGCAGAGCTCGAGGAGGAGCTGTCTCTTTCCAAAGAGGAGAACGAGAGACTCCAGAAACTACTGGACGCTGTTTTACAGCCTGAGCTTCGGATACACAGAGCAGATGTCCAGCAGCTGGTGGTGGTTAAAGAAGAGCCTCTCCCTGACCAGCAGGAGGGGAGCACCAGCCTGGACCAGGAGGACCCAGAGCCCCCCCCACACATTAAGCAGGAACAGGAGGGAGAGCAGCTTCAGGAGCCGGAGGAGGCTGATATCACCAAGTCCACTTTCACTCCTGACCCTGTGAAGAGTGAAGATGATGAAGAGAAACCTCAGTCCTCTCAGCCTCATCAAAGACAAACTGATCACATGGAAACAGAAGCGGATGGAGAGGACTGTGGAGGACCAGAACCAGCCAGGAACTCAGATCCAGAGAGCAGTTTCCAACCAAAGACTGAGGACCACACTGGAGACTCTTCTGAAGACACTGATGACTCTTCTGAACCTGACACTGAAGACAGTGCTGATTGGAAGGAGACCAGAGAACCTGCCTCAGGCTCAAACTCACTGAAAAATAGAAAAGAATCTGTCAGTGATCCCCGACGTAGTGCTGAAAAGAAACCATTCAGCTGCTCAGTCTGTCAGAAAGCTTTTAGATATAGACAACAACTAGATCAACACATGAGAGTCCACACAGGAGAGAAACCCTTTCGCTGCTCAGTCTGTGAGAAAGCTTTTTCACGGAGTGGAAATTTAAAGAAACACATGAGAGTCCACACAGGAGAGAAACCCTTTCGCTGCTCAGTCTGTAAGAAAGCTTTTTCACAGAGTGGAAGTTTAAAGGAACACATGATAATCCACACAGGAGAGGGAGCACACAGCTGCTCAGTCTGTAAGAAAGGTTTTTCACAGAGTGGAAGTTTAAAGAAACACATGAGAGTCCACACAGGAGAGAAAGCATTCAAATGCTCAGTTTGTGAGAAAGCTTTTTCACAGAGTGGAAGTTTAAAGAAACACATGAGAGTCCACACAGGAGAGAAAGCATTCAAATGCTCAGTTTGTGATAAAGCTTTTTCACAGAGTGGAAATTTAAAGGAACACATGAGAGTCCACACAGGAGAGAAAGCATTCAAATGCTCAGTTTGTGAGAAAGCTTTTTCACAGAGTGGAAATTTAAAGACACACATGAGAATCCACACAGGAGAGAAAATATACAGCTGCAATGTTTGTGACAAAAGATTTAAATGGCGTGGTGTTTTCCAAAGGCACAAGTGTGTTGGTCGTCAGTCCTCACGGCTTAATGAAAATAACGGAGAGGCAGAGCCTCCAATCAGCAGCTCAGCTGAACACATGGAAACAGAAGCCGATGGAGAGGACAATGAATAAGTCTTATGACAGTTCACACGTGAGAGAAATCTGTCTGTGGACAATATGTTTCATGTTTTTGTCATTCTGATGTATACGTTAACCACTGACTGTTGATGAACCACTGCTCATTTAAGGTGGTCTGACCTTTACAATGGACCAGCTAGTCTTAGTGTCTTAATGCAAACGTTTTGTAAGATGACTGTTATCACTGTATTATACTGTAAATGAAAAAGGCTTTAATCCTTCATGAAAGTCATAATATGGCATCTGTATTTATGTCCATTTTTGATTAGAAAACGAAATATGTCAGACATAGTTATTTTGATTGGCTAAATGTATTTTTACATTCTCAGTTAGCTTCAGGCCTCAGAGGAGAAGTATTGAGGTAGAAAGCTGGTGAAGCCATTTCCTTATATTCTGTTTGCACAGATCATAAACCTGGTTGGCAAGAAGGAAGTCATATTCATTCGACCACACAACACAACGCAGAGATACATAAATAGAGAAAACGGATATAATTTGTAAGTGAATTTATTAATGTGTTTAATAAATTCTGGCTAGGACAACCACACAAACGGCAGCAACATTCCCTCGCAGCAGTGGAGATGGAGCATCAGAACCTGGAGAATACAGCAACAACAACAAGGATCCATTTGGAGATAGGTAAATGTAAATATTACAGTAATAGTGTACTTTCATTGTTTGGGTTTAGTTAAATAGGTTGTAAGAGAGAGAGAGAGAGAGAGAGAGAGAGAGAGAGAGAGAGAGAGAGAGAGAGAGAGAGAGAGAGAGAGAGAGAGAGAGACTCCTGTCCCACCTCCCCATTTTATTTTGAGTTGTGCATTGTTATTTGTGCTTGAGAAATATTCCACTTGAACTTTATATTTTAATGAACTTAGTAATGATTGTCCTGTATTTCTTTCCGATTTCACAGCTGCCTGGGCCTAGCAGCAAGAACCTCCATCTGTGCCTGCACCCAGGTCAAGATCTACCGTGGCTCAAGGGCCTTCACCAGAGCCATCACCACCAAGGACCAGAGGAGCAGCATGGACGGTCCTGCACAGAAGCCCTGAAATGGCTCTATACAGGACCGTCCTGTACACAGCTCTCTGACATGGCTATATACAGGACGGTCCTGTATATAAGGTCTCTGAAATGGCTATATACAGGACGGTCCTGTACACAACGCCAAATGGCTATATACAGGACCGTCCTGTACACAGCTCTCTGAAATGGCTATATACAGGATGGTCCTGTGGATAAGATATCTAAAATGGCTATATACAGGACCGTCCTGTACACAGCTCTCTGAAATGGCTATATACAGGACGGTCCTGTATATAAGGTCTCTGAAATGGCTATATACAGGACGGTCCTGTACACAACGCCAAATGGCTATATACAGGACCGTCCTGTACACAGCTCTCTGACATGGCTATATACAGGACGGTCCTGTATATAAGGTCTCTGAAATGGCTATATACAGGACCGTCCTGCAGCTAACGTCAAATGACTATATACAGACCGGGCTATTATAGCATGCTTAAGCAAGTTTCGTGGGTGGTAATGTAGGGATAGGATTCACAGATAAATATTCTCACGACAACATTATTTTCAATGAGTTTCCCCTCAATATAAAATTGTGGCAATTAAATCTCTTTCCATGCCAATTGCTTAGCTTTTTATGCTGATTTCAGTCTTTTTTTTGGCTTATCTTTTTATGTTGTTTCAATCATTTTCTACTTTATATTTTCCAATGCACAATGTTTTACTTGTAAAGGATATCACTGCATACTTTAAAGACTACTCGGTTTTATTAAAACTGAAGGTTTTTTTTTAAAGAATACGCCGACATTTCGTTGACGTGTAGTGATTTTGCATTGAAAGCAACACAAATCATTTATCGGCTACGCCGGCATTTTTATTTTAGAAATCGGAGAAACCGTATTTTGAATTGTATGTAGTATGCTGTACATGTTTGTAATTTATCCTGCTGTAAACGTTAATTGTACACCAATTATATCTATATTTCTGTAGACTACATAAAAAGCGACTCGATTTTTCTGCCGATAAAGACGTGAAAATCCCATGAAATGTCAGGTTTCATTTCTAAAATTGGTGAAGGTCACCCTCTGGTTTCAAACTAGGGCTGCAACAAACGACTAATTTGATAATCGATTAATCTATCGATTAATGAAACGATTAATCGATTATTCGGATCGTTAAGGTTTTAACTGTACTACTACTTATATCGATACTGCTTATCGATCCGGTCCTTTTAACGATAGTATTAACGGTTCTTTTGACAAGAAATAAGGTAAACTAACTAAACAAATTGTGAACAAAACTAACATTGCTTTTTATTTTAATTAAATGCATAATATTTCACATCAAAAGAAACAACAATGTTTTAACAAATCATATTAAATAATGTGAAGATAGAACTGTAAACAGAATAGCTGAAACTTTAACAAAATAAATAACTCAGTTACCTCTAATCATTAACCCATGTTTGTATAACTGAGTTAACTCTGTGTGTTGCTGCTAGCATACATAACACCTGACGTGGAAACGTTCCTCGTGGACGGAGCTACAGAGCTGCTAGAAAGACAGTCGAACCCGGTGCATTCCTCCGTCTGGATGTGGAGCACTTTTGCTAAATGTTTAGACAAATTGCTCGTGTTACCGCCCTTACATGCTAAACTCTTATTGCACTTTTGGTAACGAGTATTGTCCACATCGAGACGGCTAAAGTTTAACCACACCTCGGAGCGCGTTCTCTCCGCCATCTCCTCCGTGTGTGTGTGTTGCTGCGTGTAGCAGCTGCGTGTGTGTGTGTGTGTGTAAACTGCCCCGTCCCCTCGCAAGCAGGCGGGGAGAGATCTCTCGTCTGAATTGGGAAGATCGAAAATACATTATAGACGCATTTTATAGTCATATTGCATATTAGAAACGGAGTTGGCGACACTAAGACTGCGATATAATGTTTATGTAGCAATAATACATATGACATATGTTTTAAATGTCTCCTGTACGGTCCTGTATATAGCCATTTCAGAGGGTTGTGTACAGGACGGTCCTGTATATAGCCACTCCCTGGAGATGCAGTTCAGCTGTTTTACGCCCTAACCCGGCTTCATGCCTATAAGGTCATCACAACTCTTTTAGGTCAAGACAGAGTGATCACCCTGGCTGGCTTCTTCCCCCCTCCTCACAGGTCGGAGGAAGAAGAAACATCTCATCTCCTCTGCCCGGTGCGCGCGCTGTCTGCTATGTGGCGCGCACGGCGGCATTGCGTCGTTCTCAGCGCCTGTTTTTGCATTACAGAGAGCGCTCGATCGGGCAACCTCTGTCTGCACAACGGCTGTCACACTGGCTGTGTGAGGCTGTGTCACAGGCATATGTCTCCTCTGGGGTGGAGCCCCCGGAGAATATCAAAGCGCACTCAACCAGAGGAATTTCCTCCTCGGAGGAGGAATGTCAGTGGAAGATATTTGCACGGCTGCATCTTGGTCTTCCCCCTGCTCATTTATTCAATTGTATTTGAGGGATGTCTCCCTTTCCTCTCTGACACGCCCTGTACTGGGTGTCCTGTCAGAGTGAGTGACGTCAGGGATCCAGCTGTGCGCCTCTCTCCTGCCTCGCGGCACACAGAGAGCGGCCCTTTTTCCCCTCGTTGGAGAGGGAAGTTCCCCTTCCTCTGACACACTTCGTAGGGAGTGCCAGTCAGAGTGAGTGACGTCAGCAGTGGTGTAGTGGGCGTTGGACGCGGGGGTACGCCGTACCCCCACTTATTTGGAGCATGATCTTTTTTTTAAGTCTAATAAATATAAAATCATTGCCAGTGTTATCAGTTGCAAGTGTGTATTTGTTGTAATAATGACGAAAACATAATACATTTCACAGTAGCCTAATTATAATACAAAATAAAAACAATTTCCTTAAAAAAGTATGATTCATCATCACGCTCGTGACCCCGCGGTCACTGACACACCCACGGCGAGCCAGCTCGCCGCGCCCGAGATTTTGCGGCAGCTCTTAATCTCAAGAACACTAACGAAAAAGCTCTATAATGGCAGGCTAACATGTTTTACTTGACTTATTTTCTAAAAAGAATATAATTCACAAGAAGAAAGAGGCTAGCAGCACCGAAGCTACAAGTGAAGCTGCAGTACAATACATCATCATAAGAGCCGCCTAAAGACGTGGATAATACCAGCTAACGTGCACGTTAGCTGCGCTAGCAACGTTGAGCTAGCTAGCTCAAGCTCACCTTTCCCAGAGGGACGGAGGAGATGTGGCGGAGGAAACAAGAGGCTTACCCGTGGATACACTGCAAAGCTGGGAAACTGGGCTGCAAAGTTTGTTCATCCATTTCGGATTTATCAGCCTTCAAAACCCAAGGTGTGTGTGTGTGTGTGTGTGTGTGTGTGTGTGTGTGTGTGTGTGTGTGTGTGTGTGTGTGTGTGTGTGTGTGTGTGTGTGTGTGTGTGTGTTTGGGGGTGGGTGAAAAGCAGCGCTGTCTGCTTATTTGCAATGTAGGCTAGGCCTAATCAGAATAATGTCAAGTCCAGATTCAATATTGTTTGCCTAAGTCATATGTCAATTGATATATCGGTAGTTTCTGTGGACCTGTCTGCCCGTTGTGTGAGTGCACTGCGCGCATGCGCGGCATTGTTTTGGATGACCTAATTTAAATAGCGTCCCCCCAGTAAAAAAATCCCCACTACACCACTGGACGTCAGGGATCCAGCTGAGAGCTCTCCTACCTGTCTGACACGGAGAGACCGGCTGTTCCCCCTCTATGATCGCAGGACAAGGTGGGACCTTCGTCTCTACTT